ATTTTGCTCAGATTTTTTTTCTCGTGGCAAGGTTTTGGGATTTCATGAGAACCAACTTGTGGTGCCCGTCCTGGTATCTTGCTTTGTTGTGCGACAAAAAGAAAGAAAGAAAAGAAAGTCCACAGTTAAGTTCCACAACAAAACAAACTTCAGCATGGGAACAAAAATAAAGAAAATGAAACTATAAACAACTGCATATTTTATCGTCATTCTTCCATTATTATTGCTTTCATGTACACTCCTGTATCAAGCCCACTCTCACATATTGTTAACTTTAATTAATAAATGCTTCTTCTAATTTTGAAATAGACAACCAATAGCAACTTTTAATCAACTTTTCATAAAGTTCTTAGACCCAGCTCATCAGTTCAATGTAAAGTATTCTTTGAAATCACCAATTGCAGTGAAAAGCAAATTGCTTTTCCCGTTTCTCTGGCTGCCCTAAACCATGAAAGAAACCCTAAATTGTTAAGAGCTTCTATTTTTGATGAACCGTTTTAACATTTTTTTTCTGGAATTGTATTGATATTACCCTTCATTATAAATTTTATTTAAAAATAAAAATTTATCAGCTAAGTTAAACACAACACACCCTTGTTGATATATGGATACTTGTATTAAATTTAGGCTTCAGCTTAATCCAATTCTAAAAGTTAGCTTGTAAAATAAAAGTTGCTATAATCTGTAAAAACTCTTCTTTGATTATACTTTAACAACTTCAAAATTGACAACCTAAGAGTAACGTCAAATACTTGAGAAATCAACAAAAATTTATATTAATGACCTATCAAACCCAAAACCAATTTACATACAGATGTGATACATAATTTGCCCTTCTATTTTGATTCTTTATGAGATCTTAAAAGCTAAAAGTAGATGCAGCATGTGGCCTTCCCAAAATATACGTACATAAAAGGAAAAAGGGAAACTAAGATTATGGCAATATGTGTAGCACTGTTGAGATGTCATTCCAACTAAAGCAAAGCTATTTTAAAGAATATATTGAAGGCCTCCTAGTACATCCAATGGGTTATATAGGCGAAACCTAGTAGGTGGTGGCCATATGAGAATCAGAGCAAATGACCAAACCTCTAATGTACAGTAACATAAAAAAAATTATTGATCTTGGACTGAAAAAAAAAATGAGAATAAGGGCCCCATTGGTTTTGATTCCAAATTGAAACCGCATCATGGAAAAGTCACTTGTCGTATGCCTTCCTATGACGTCTGGAAAGTGGATGACGACATTTATAATTACTACCATGATGACTATGTAAGCAATCATCCAAATTTGAACGTAAATCAGACTGAATTCACAATAAAACTTGGAAAATTCGGATTATAAGGGGACCCAAAGCTTGATAGCAAATCGGAACCAACTCAGATTTTCCATTAAGTGTCGTGTGTCCATTTGTAATGTGGTGGACCATGATGATTTCCATTATTAAGGCAACAACGAGGTTAATTTAAATAATTAACTCAACAAATCAATCCTATTGTTCTGACCAAGTTAATTAAATGGCAATTTTTGTTTTTATAATAAAGGCCATAAAGAAAAGTTGAGAAAACAAGCTGCGGTCTCCCTCACTCTAATAGGCTTAGCTGTTGGCATCTACACATTACGAGTGGTTACAATAGTATTAAATAAATAGCAAAGTTAGATTCTAAAGGAACAGAAAAATGTGATAACTATTTTGTTTGCTTGCTTAAAGAAGAGGCAAGCCAAAAAAGCTTGAGTGGATAGTCTAGCTGCTATTATTGTGTGCACATCTGAGAAGGAGATCACTTGCCATTTCAGTAAAATTCATCAAAAGGGTCGTACGGAATTGGAGCTAATTTTATTTGAAAAAAATGTTGCTTTAATTTGTGAAAATAATTGTTTAAATTTTATCTCTCTTTATTTTCAAAAAATTATAAAATAAGGCATTTTTTTGCAATTATTTATATAAAAAAAAATCTCAAACAGACCCTTGGGTTATCCATTTAGCCAGTATAGGCAAAGAAGCGACCCTCCAATATAAGTTCAAGCTATTGACTGCTACTTTTATTGACTAAATATATAAAACAGATGGCTTCAATGTTTGGTGGTAATGGAATCATTCTTTTCAAAAGGAGAGTTGAAAAAGTTCACAGAAAATGCTAAAGTAGTGTGTATGATAGGGATTAACATTGCTAAATTAAACCAGTTTGGTTCAATTCATGGCTATAGTTTTTAGATTTTGAGGTCTCAAATTAGAAGCAAGGTATTTTGACACGTTGCAAAGTACAAAAGACAAAAAAACAAAAATGGCCTATTGTAGCATAGCTTTGCTGGCTGGCATGGCTGATGAGAAAGATCGAAATTAGTGGATGATTAAGACGATATATATCATTGAATGAGAAGTGGGGATGCAGAATCAGCTAGTGGATTCACTTGGGCAAAAACATCCAATAATCAAAAGTCAAGCACCAATGAAAAAAGGAGAGGGTCGGTACCCATGTTTTGAAGTTTATTATATTGACAGTCATATCCTTAAGTGACTCAAAATTTTCAAGGTGGTATCTCGTATATGGAAACTTGACACGATTCACTAGTTCATCTTAAATTCCCTGAAACGCCTTTGTGGGGGAAAGATAATATGTAGTGTGTATTGTATTTCTCATGACAAAATGTTAAGATGAAGTTTATGGATAAGGACAGGTAGAAATCTGGAATTCAATATATTTATTTATGTACGTTAGTTAGTAGATACAACTCAAGTTGTAGTAGAAGAAAGGGATTAACAGGGTCATCAATTTTTTTCCAATTTGAACTGGTAGGGAAAAAAAATTAACAAAGGTAGAAGGTGCAAAAGGAGATTCAAAAAAAAGGTTAGGTAATTAGGTTAAGGTTAAGGTTAAAATTGTCCTATAAATCAAATAAATGCTTTTTACCTATCATTTATTTATATATAATAGACACTGTACTGTATGTTATCTTTGATCACTTTCTACATATTGCAACTTTTGATGGTTTGAAAGCAAAAGTAAGAAAGAATGTATCATGGATAATGAATAGATGATAGCACTTTTGAGTTTCTCAATCATCAGCTATTTAAAGCAATGGTCAGAAACTAATTTCTCCACTGGCTTTCAATAGAGCCCTTTGGAAATCATTTAAATCATTCTATCAAACCTGAATCTATGATAGGCATGGAGCTTTGTTGGCGAAGATCCACCCATGGCTCTTAAAGAAGTATGGAGGAGTGTGAGGGGTGATGACCCTCTCACACACTCCTCCACCTCCAAACAGTTTGCTTAAGCTTAGCCATTGGTTCCTCTAATCAGTAATCACCAAGGTTGTACTATATATGGAGAAGCATAATTCCCTATGAGTTGCATGAAGCAGAGAAGCTTTGGCTACAGCATGGCAAACCGGCAAGTCACAAAAAAGGCAATGGACTCTCTCATTAAGTGTCCTTATGGCTATGTATGTCTCTATTATAGTTCTTCTTTCAGTCGAATGGAATAAACAAAGATGTTCTTCCTTTGAGAAGCTAGTTACCAACTTGTGCTGTCCATAACACTCAATTTGCAACTGAGTGTGGCTTCCTCTTCAGTTTCTGCAGATGAGTAGGTAGGTAAATATGATCTCATATCTATCCCTATCCTTTCCCTTGTTGTTTCTGTCTTCCTTTTCCCATGTGTGTATGCTTGCTGTGTTGTGAGGCCTTATTAGCAATAAAAGATTTATAGTAGTGTTTTAGTTCCCTAAAGTGTAGGATTATGTTCTGCAGAAGTTGATTAATTAGAAAAGCTTCAGAGCCCTCCTAGAAAAATTGTTCGAAGTCAATAATGACCATGCCCCTTTTTCACTTGAGTTTCTGATTTTACTGACATTGGATGTATTCCAGGAAACTAAAGGAAAACAATAGTTTATCTTGTCCATATAAAAGAAAGCATACACAAAAATGAAAATTTCATTTGCTAAAATTAATAAGAAGACAATAATTATTACCATTTCAACCAAGACAATGTTTATCAATGTTGAATTCTAATGTTTCAATGTTAAGTGTCCATTTAATTTAAATTTTGGTAGAGTTGATTTTCATAAAATTAATTTGAAGCTGTTGAACTTAATATATCCAAATTAATTTAGTCACAGATTTATGTTGAAACAAGTCACGGTATATGAAATTGGTTATAGGCGTTAACCAAACAAGCTCCAAGTTAACCAACAAAACCTGACTTCATAGAGAGCAAATCGCAATATACGAACATTTATTTTCTTCCCCTACAAAATATCGAAACAGACCCTTCTCCTACAAACATATCCTGTAAATGAGGAAGTGAAGGGTGCCGATGGTAGGAGAAGATGTATATTCAATTCGTTCTTCTCTTTCAATGGTTGAAGTGTGAATTATTGTGACTTAAAAAACTTTAGTGATAACCAAGTTAAAAATTTGCCAACTTGTGGAAACACTTTAATGGATGCTTATTCAGAAACACTCAATCCATTACGTAAATTAGGAGTGAATTTAATTTCAACATTACCTATTAGCCAAATGGAGACCCTTCTGTTTTAAATAGAATTGCTAGTGTGTCATATAACCTACCTCATCACAAGCATCATAACAAATCACCCTTTTACACAGAACTTGTCCTTTTATATTATCTCGAATTGGTGTATCAGAGAAATTAATATCAAAACTAGCTGAAGTATAAAATTTTCGTTCCATTCAAAGTATCATGACACGTGCATGTAAATAGATGAATGTAGAACATATTTACATTACAATCTTGACAATTTTTTTTTTCTTTTCGGACAATACAAGAAACCCTTAAAAGTGACTCCTCCACAATGGAAAGAATTGGAAACCCAATCCACTATCCTATTTCCTTCCCTCACCCTCTTGTCATTCTAAGCAAACCATACCAAATACACACCTAAAACATAGGATATACATATGGTGAAACTTGAAACATAATATATGCTTAAAGAATAAAAAATTGATTATGGAATGATTATGAAGAAGTTATGCTCATCTTTTCCAAGTTCCCTTTCCATATTTTAAGAGAGAAACATAGAGCAACTCATTCCAAGTATCTGGTACCCCAGGCAAGCACCAATGGCTGCAATCTTCGTATAATGCAGTAGTATTCTGAAGAATTGATGTCGTATATTCCTTTCTGAATACTGAAGGATGCCCATCTTTTCTGAAATCTGTAAGCCTAGTTACATTCATATATATTACTGGGGTTTTCATATGTTGGATGACATGTTCCAGTGCCCACATTTTTGAAGGATACTTTTGTAAGTAACTTTCATTAAATATTGGCTCAGTTTCTCTGTGGCACTGTCCTCCTGAATTCCATTGCCCACCCCTGCATGCAAATTATTAGAATTTATTCATCAAGGTATGCCAAATGTATATGAATCAGTAAATTGATTAAATATACTGTTGCAGTCACTACATTGGACGTTTCAAAATCGAGAAGAGAGTTCACGTTAACCAACTATAATGGCAGTTAAGTGAAATGAATATAGGTTAATTTTATTGCATGTAGTTAATCCAAATGGTAAGTGGTTAATGGTTAGTTCAAATGATAACAGGTCTTTTTACTTTTACACCATTCAGCAGGTAAATTTAAATTCGCTTGACATAGAACCAAATTCAACTCAGGGATGATAAGCTAAAATTAGTAAAAAATAAAAATAAAAAATTCTAGAGCTAATTGTATTCTAGAAATTGCAATAGTAGTTTACTACACTCTTTTGATACAATCTCTATTATTGGCTAACAAAATGAATCGACTCGTTAAATAAATGCCCATAATTTTGTAATTTTCAAAAAACTTCAATCAATAATAAAAATGTATTAGAAAGTGTTTTGCTAACATTTATCATAATACTACGTATTAGGAAGGCAAGTCGATGCCATGCAGTAGAAACAGGATCAACTAGATAAGATAGTTTTTCCAGTCTGGGGAGGTGGAAGTAAGGGTGAGGCCGAACTAGCTAAAGTTAAAAATCAATAGCAATAATAAAAATAAAGTAGATAAAGAGGTTATATCAAATTAAAAAAAGGGTAAAGAGGATCGTGATGACAAGGTATGAAGGTAAGCCAATTGTTGGGTTTACTTAATTTCAAGTTTTCAACTACCAAGAACTTTGTCTATCTTCAGATCAAATGGATTTGAGATAACAATGCTAAGTATACTACCAAATACAAAATGGCTCAATAATTTCCATTTCCCAACAATGACACACTGCATGTTCCTTATTATATAAATATATTTGTAGAATTTCCATTTATGCGATTAACTTTCTCTTGAAAAAGAAAACGGAAAAAATTGGCAACAGACGTGTTTTCGTAAAGGCTTAAGAGAAGTTTATGGAAGAAAAAAAAGTGTTGTATACATCACATTAGACTATATTGATAAAGCTAATTTGACTAAAACTAAATTTAAAATTGGTTAAACAAAATTCAAAATTTAAAAACCAGTTCTAAACCAGTTTTAAAAAAATAGATCGATTTAAAATCTAATCCATATAATTGGATTTAAAATAGATTTAGACTAATTTTGAGCAAATTTAATCTATGCAAATCCCTATGTTGAAGGGCAAGTGAACTCAGTCATAGTATCAGATGAGACAGGACATTGGCAAGTTAGCATGTATTGTTTCTTAGCAATACATATTTCTAGTTAGAAAGATGCTTCAAGAAATTTTCGAGTTCCAGTAAGAAATTATGGAAACGTGTAAAAGAGAACAATACCAGAAATGGGTAGCCGAGTATCCTCTGAATAAAACCTGAGTTTGATTGGCATCAATTTTTCGGTCAACCCACTTAGCCCAAGTGGTCAAAGCCCTCTTATATGCATCCAGAACCTCTAGTCGCGGGTATACATGGTTTCCTTCTTGATAATAATTTTCTCTGTAACAGTACCAGATGCCATAGGAAACATATGATATTGTAAATTCATAATAAAAATTACACAATTGCAGTCATAGGAAACACATTCTTTTTTGTAGGTTTATTTTTTAAAATACTTTTTCTAACTCATGCAACACTATACATGATAAGATTTTATATATAATAAACTTTTATTAAAAATTATCCAATTCAATGCATTAATTCCATTTCTAATAAAACTTAATATTTATTATTTTTTATTATGTGCAACTTTGCATAGATTAAAAAATCCTTCCTTAAAAGTTAAAGTACTCATGTCATGAATCAATCACTTTTTAATAATTGCTTTGACTTTTAATAAAGGAACCAATTATAAGAAGTGCTTTCAAAAGAGTAAGTTACTCACATTGCTCTTATAAGTAGCTTAATTGAATGCTTATTTAATGAATATATAATTTTTACACGAAGGTTTGTTGGATAAATTTGAGGTGATTCTAATATCTTTCTTTCTTTTGCAAGAAGTAAAAATAATACTTTTTAATAAGTAAAGTGAAATTAACACTAAGCTATCGATATTTGTAGATAGAAAATGAATAGTTCAGATTAATGGGTGAAAAGGTTAATAATCAAAAAGTAGCATGTGACTATTTTAATAATAACATGTTAATAAAGGGTAAATAGGTAAAATGTTACCTTTCCTTTATCTAGAACTCCTCCATTCTCATTTCTCCTTTCCTCTTAACCTCCTCCATTTTTATTTTTTTTTCTATCAAAACTCTGAAATCACATAAAATTATAGTTTGTTTGACATTTAATGTTAATAGACATGTAAAAAAGGTTAATTTTTATTAAGTGATACATAATATCCACATGTCTTCACTGTAACAACGATCCCTTCTAAATCTTAACATAATCTTGTCGTTGTCGTAGAAAGATATCAAATTAGTAGTATCACTTTGTTTCTACTATTGACAACAACAACAATTATACCGTTTAGAGAGAATTAGCACAATGATATGAAAGAAGGGGTCAAACATAGCTGCATCTGAGGTGTTTTAACTACATTTGAGGTTGATACAAGTAAAAAAATGAACACTAAAAGACTGCTCATACGCCTACACAGAATCAGCAAAGTAAAGCTAAAAGATTAAAATTCCATCAAGTGAAATAATATAACTCTTTACCCAAAAAAATATGCACCTTCAAAAAATCATGACGTTAGCTTTATTTTATTTTTGATGTTGAGATGTTAACTCCCTCCATAGGTTTTTTTGTAAAACTGATGTAAAAGTACTTATGTTAACTTTCTACATCAGTTCTTTCGTAAAATCGATATAAAAAATATAGTTAGCTTTTTATGCATTAGTTCTCCAATAAGATCAATGTAACTACAAAATCGATCTAGAAAGTAACATTAAAAAGAAAATTATGTCATGGAAAGGAGATAATGGTTAATAAGGTCACAAAATAAAGTTAAAAGAGAATCAATATAATCTATCTGATAGTCCAAGATATAAAACTGAGAATCTCAAGTCTGCTACAAGCTGTGACTATATGAAATACTATGAGTTTCTTGCAATTTTTGATGCAGATTTTCGACTAAGTCTTGATTTTCTTAAACAAACAGTGTTGTATTTCAAGGATAAAAAGAAAACATAAACATATTCAATAAAGATTCTTAGTAAATTCATATTTACCATATTTTAATATGTATTCTTTTATTACTGAATAAGGATGAGAACTTACTGAAGCATCTCCAGAATATTAATTTATGCTTCCAATTTTTTTAGTATTTTTTTATATTTTTTTTGAGTCTGAGCTATATTATTAATACTGCAGAAAAAAAGGGAGAAGACAAAGAAGAAGAACCAAATAAGAAAGAAAGAAAATTACTAATATATCCTTCCTAAATGTAATTTGTATTACCCGTTTCCTATCTTTTATTTTTAACCATCTAATTTTGATTAATGATCCACAATGTTTAAAAACTTTTGAAAAAGATAATTTTATCTTACTTCTTACAAAAGATGGGAGGATATTAGAATCACCCATAAATTTGATCATAAAACTTATAAGCTGTTTCTACGTGCTCTTCCAAAGATGCCTGAATTTGAGGATAACTTTGAAGCATAAACCGTAGACCATGATTTTAAGTGAAAGAAAGAAAGGAACAGCACTCACCCTTTTGATGTTTTATCATGGGTCCACCAGTGACCCGTATTGAAGACTATGATATTAGCATCGCGATACTTGGTTGTAGTCCGGTCCATCAAATCCAATCTTAATGTCTCAAACGACCCATTTTTCTCCTTGAAAGTTGACTCTTGAACTATGAATGGGGAAACAACAAAATCCACCGAACAATTATAATCCTAAAACACAGCAAAGAAATTCTAGTAACATACCATCCCAATACAAGATTCACACTTGACAAAATACCATAGAAGTAAAGGAAACTTGCCTCAAATCTAAAAGAATATACACCTTTCTTCTTAAATTCTCTTCTCCCCGAAATTTCAAAAACACGTTTCTTGTTCCTAATGCTTTGACTGAGAATGCACACAAGTGACTCCCACATGTTCCTGTTGAGTGAATCCCCCACGAAAACCAACCTCTGTCCTCTCAACCTCTCCAGAAAATCAGTTGCATTCAAACTAACAAGTAACATGACATCAATCATTGATCCAATTTAATGGCTTGAATTAAATGCATTGTTAATTGTTACAGTATATATTGGATTTTCTTATCATTTGTAATTTACTTCAAATCCACTCAATCCTTGATCAATTCTAACATTCACTGTGAGTTATAACTTAATATCTTAAATTCAATGAGTTTCCAAGCATGCAATTATTCCTCATTCTCACACAAACTATTTTCCAACTCAAGGTGCACAATAATAATATTTCATAGTCGGTAGTGAAAAACAGTTATATTTATCAAACCATACCTTGGAATTTGGCAACCATTTGGTTGCCACTTCCATTTAACATATTCAGCATCGGGTCTCTCATTACGGTGACAATCAAAATCTCTATCAATGAAGGGACAAGAGCCCAAAGAATAGTATGGCTTGGAATAATCTCTTACCCACTTTCCTTCAAAAATGTCACACTTCTCATGCAACCCAACTTTCTTTTTCTCCTCTTGGTGGGTTTCATTGTGAGCGAAAGTTACATTCTTTATCCCAACCAAATTATAACTGAAACTAGAATTCTCAAAAATATTATTCTCCTCAGGTTTAACAATAACATGCATGTTACCCTCTGATCCATTACCTGACACATGCACTTCATGAGTTCTGTTCACAACAGCACTTCCTTCTTCAACTCTCTTCACAGATGCGTTGTTCTCAGAGGAAGAAGAGTGGTTAGCGTTGAAGGGGCAAGAAACAAAGGAAGAGTTTGCACCATCAGTGTGAAGTGGTGGCACAAAGACTTCAACTTTGAGGGAGTTACTGAGAAAGAAGAGAGACAACAAAACAAGAGAAGCAGCAACACCTAAAGTGAACCATGAAAACACTCTTCTTCTATGTGACTGAAAGGGCTCAGGGAATGTGATTCTCTTGGAGTTATTAGAGAAAAGAACATGCATGGTGCTTTTGAGTTTTGTGAACAAAGATAAAGAACAGTGCGGTTCCTTTCCAAGTGAAGAAAACAATGTGCTGCAAAGGTATCGGAGTTGGGTTGGTTCAGGACGTTGTGACTCCTTCTGAAAGAAAGTAGTGGTGGATGAAGCGAAACACCGGAAGGAACTGCTGTTTCAGTAGCATTCTAATTTTGTCTAAATTTCCCAAAATAACCTCTGTAATTCTTTTAAAGCAAAATATCTGTTTAATTGTTTTTTAAATATTTTCAAACAATATTGTCATTTCTTAATTTATTTAATTTGTATTATCCCTTTGTCAAAACATATCACAAGTTTGTTTCATTTAGAAGTTTAAAATATTAATTGATATAATAGAAAACGAGTTTATGTTTTTCTAAAATTATTTTTATGACTAATAAATTTAAAATTTTATTTTTTCTCAATAAAATAATAAAATTTATTCTTATATGTTGCAGTTATATTTTTTTTAATTTTATACATTATTCTTAGGCATTAACCAACATCATTTTTAAAATAACAAAATACAAACACGATAAAGAATGTGACTATTATTTTCCAATCCATAAGAATATAAACATAATCAATGCTAATGTCACAGCTGATTACTGTAATTATCTCTTATTAATTTTTTTGAATTAAATTATTTTTAAAAATTTTAATATTTGATGGAAGATATAATTTAGTATTATTACAATTGATTGTATGAAAAAAGTTGTATGCAAGTGTAAAAATAAATTTTAGGTTTAAATATTAGGTAAAAAATAATATTAAGATTATTTAATTTGTTTGAATTATTTATAATTGATTTTTTATTATAAAACTACAATAAAAAGTATAAATTATTTGTAGTAATTATTTATATATTTAAAATAATTAATTATTAAAAATAACTTATTAGTTTCTGATATAATATTTTAAAATTATTTTATAATAAAAATACAATTTTTTTTGTTAAATTTATAGTCTTTTATTACATTTTAAATTATACGATGTGATAGTATTCTTGTCGTTGATATGTAAATATTCTTTTAAATTCATATCACTTAAATTTTTAAATTTTATTTATTAAATACATTTAAATAACTAATCTAGTGAGCTTTTTAAGTACTGTATAGGTATTATTAGACTAAAATATGGTTTTTGAATAAAAATAAAAATTTGATTCTTAACAGAGAAATATAAATAAAAAAATAAAAAAAGTTATAATAATTATAAATTATAAATTATAATTGTGATAAAATACATGTACATTATGACAAGTTATAAAATTTTAAAAATTTTATTGTTTATTTTCTAATAAATTATTATATTCAAAAATAAATGTATATATTATTTTATATTTATTTCACATAATTAAATGTACGTGCACACATGTACAAATATATTTAATAATAATAAAAATAAATAATAATTTATTTTTTAATATTAATTTTTATTTACATAAAACACAATAAAATATTTATAATAATTATTAAAAATATATTTCATCAATTTAAAGTTTACATAGAAGTATTAATAATTAAATAATTTGTTAACTTACAGTTTATAATTGACACCATAAATAATTTTTAGTTTTTTTCTTTCATTTATAAAATACTTATGCAACACATTGAAAATGTTTGTTAATTTGTAGTGATTAGGTTTGTCAACATCAATCTGATTCATAAATCATAATTCATAACTGGCTATAAAAAAAAGTAATTAGTTTATTCATTAATTTATTTTAATTTTATTAAATACACTAAATTTCCTTTTTATCAAAATTTACTAATTAAAATATTAAATTTTATTTAAAGTTAAAAATTTATTTAAACCATAATCTTATTTTTATGAAATATTTTTAATTTTCATTATTTTTGTTAACTTTTTATTCCAAATTATTTTATATTTAAATTTATCATAAATTCTACAATAGAATAAAAGAATAATTTTGTCAATTTTTTGACATGTTATTAATTAAATAAACACACTAATTACAATTTTGAGTAAATTCAATTATTAACATCCTCTTGTTGAATAAAATATAATTTTTAATGTATTTTAAGATATATAATAAAATTTTATATGATAACTTTTAATTAAAATTTAAAATATAATACATTAATAAAATAAAATAGTAGATATTTATAGTAAAAAAATATTATTAATTATTTTTATTATATTTTTAGGTATTTTTAAACATGGAATAAAAAAATAATAAACAAACAAAATGTAAAACAAAAATAAAATGCAGTTTGGTTGGTGTATCATAAACACGTCCAAATAAAATCTAACTTAAGGGCAGTTTTGTAAAAACATACAGTGGAAGACGTAAAACGTGGCGTGTCCATAGGAGCACAAAGCTTCGTGCAAGTGATGATGCTGTAAATGGCGAGCATGCGGTGGTGTTGTTCCCGTGAGTGGGCATAGAGTACACCGCTAAGGATATCCAATGATATCATGCCACGTTGAAGACACAGTTTGCTAAATTGCTAGTGTACTTCTTTGGCGAGCGTGATCATTTCAGAATGCAGGAGCACGCTGCTCTCGTCATGCAGGAAAACTTTCTAGGTTTTGTTAAGTTTTAGTTTTTAGAATTAAATTTAAATTTTAAAATAATAATTTTTATTTAAAAATATTTATTGTATAAAAATATTAAAGTATAATAAATATTTTATCATGGCTCAAAATAAATAATTGATAAAAATAAATTTTATTAAAAAATATTTATTATATTTTTATAATTTTAATAAAATAAATTTGTATTTTTTCATAAAAAATTATTCATAAATAAAACTCAAACTTTAGACTTTAACAAAAACTAAAAGTTTTATCACCGTAAACCTCTCAAATTCTATGATAATAAATAAGATGTGGAAATACAGCACTTGGTAAATGTGTCAGCTTTGTTACACCATAAAGCAAACTTGCCCCAGGGCTGCCAAATTAATTAGTCATATGGGTCATAGATGCTGCAATTCGTCACAGCATTGAAAAGGGTTAAAATTTCGAGAAATATGTAGTCTTCATATATAAAATTATAAAAAGAGTTTTAAAAAATAAATAATAAATTTTAGAAATGCCTTCTTAAAAAATTTAAATTTTTTTCATTATATAAATCATATTAGGTTAAAATAATTTAAAACTTAAACACAAATTATATTAATTTAGTGTGACTAATACTCGAGTATACAACATATTACTACTATATATATATATATCACACCAACTTAGTATGACTTATGTATAAACGTAAAAATTACAAGCTTAACTAAAAGTTATATATAAAATATTCTAGATTTAAATGATTTGATTAATCATGGTGGTATAGGTTAAAGGCATGCTCAGCAAGTGTATAAAAGATGAAGAGTGGTGTGACTTCTATTTATAGAAATTTGAAAAAAATTATTGCAATAAAAATAAATAGTGTCAACAAACTTATGAAATAATAACATGTAATGCCTCGAGTTTTGTAAACTATTTTAATTATTAATATGAATAAGAGGGTTACTATTTGAATGTGTATTATATATATAATGATATAAAAGTGAGTCTTGGTTGAATGTACATTTGATATATCTCATATGAGGATGTATGTGTGTATATGTGTGACGAATATGATTACTGATTATGCATTGAGATTAGATATGTAACATCCTTATTTCATTATTTTGGACAATGTATATATTATACTTTATAGTTTGATGTAAAATACGGAGTTTCTGTATACTGGACTTTAGTATGACTGGTTAATAAAATTTTTGTTGTGATATAGTAATTTGTACAAATATTTTCATTGAGATGAGTATAGATGGTATGACAACATTTTAAATGCTCTATTAAACATAATCAAAGTTTATAATTTAAAAGGCTATACATAGGGATGGTAATGGGTATGGTATGGGTAGGGTACTATAGTACCTATTCCCATACCTGCATTTTAAAAAAAATACTTGTATTCGGCTCCATACTCGCATGGGTATGAACATTAATCCTCATACCCATACCCTTTGAGTACCCACATACTCATCTTGTACCCATTACTCGCGTTTGTTTGAGAAAAAAATGTTTATATAACTTCACATAAGTAGCATAATAATATAAAAATTTAATATGTAGTTGCCAAACAAGGTACAAACATAGATAAAAAATAAATATTCAAAGATCATAAATATTAAATGTATCTTAATATAATAATTTTCTAAACTAAAATTTTTAGAAATAATAAGCGAAACTAAATATACAAGTTATTTGTCAGTGATAACCTTATCTTGTGTGAGATTTGATCGATTGACAATGTCAGAGCGACAAGGAAATAGATCTGCACAATAGTTGTCCTTTCGTGTGGGATCACCTAGTGACTTCTTGTGACGACATTGACAACTAACTCTAATGAATAACTTTTCATAGTTGTTAGGTTTTAATGAGACAGACATTGAGAATGAGAATAGAGTTAGAGTAGAGAAGTTCAATACTAATAACAGAAAGTGAATACATAAAATATTTTTAACTTTTGAATTTGAAATTGTAAGAAAAATAATAAATTTAATTAAAATAATATAATATAATATAATTAATATATATATATATATATATATATTAATACTAGTATATTTTTAACTCGCATACTATACGAAAATATTTTATCAAAAATATAAATTTTTGAAATTTTTTTAATGAATTAAATATTTATAATGTATATAAATTTTAAAAGAAAGAATTTGAATAAAAGATAAATAGTCACAATAAAATTATACTTTTTTATATAAAAAAATTAACAAATAAAAATTAACAATAATTTTTTATATTTATATCTTTTCAAAAACTTCTTTGAAAGTGAATAAATAGTAAGAATAATATTATTTAGATTTAATAGATTATAGTTGTGCTTGTAATACATATGTTGCATAGAAAAATATTATTTTAAATTAAAATATAAAAATAAAATTCAAATATTATTAATAAATAATAAATTTATGGTAATAGTAGGTGATTGTAAAATTTAT